TGGACGCCTGCGACATGAAGTCTGTCGGCTGGACAAACAAACAAACAAACATGAAGTCTGTCGGCTGGACAAACAAACAAACAAACAAACATGAAGTCTGTGGGCTGGACAAACAAACAAACATGTCTGAGTCACTGTAACTAAGCTCAGTGTCTGGCGCTCTAACAGATGCCCTGATAGGCTGTGCTCTGCGGTTAGTAAGAAGCCCCCTGATAGGCTGTGCTCTGCGTGTGATGCGGTTAGTAAGAAGCCCCCTGATAGGCTCTGCGGTTAGTAAGAAGCCCCCTGATAGGCTGTGCGGTTAGTAAGAAGCCCCCTGATAGGCTGTGTGGTTAGTAAGAAGCCCTGTGATAGGCTGTACTCACGGTGCCCACAGAGGAAGAGTCCGTCCCGCCCTGCCCGAACAGTTTGCTCTGCGTGTGATGCGGCGCGTTCGGGTCCACGATCAGCAGCGGCTGTGGAGTCACGTCGTTTCCGGCGTCGTCAAGGACAACCACGTTCGGCCCCTTGCTGCGCTGCGTCACCCCGCCCTTCCCATCATCCAACACTACGCTCTTCTTGCTGGTCGACCCCGCGACCTGGCTTCGCGTGGAACCAACCATCATGGAGCTCTTGGTGTGCTGGAACGTGCTGCGTAACATGCTCTTCTGGGGAGCTCCCCTAAACAAACAAACAAACAAACAAACAAACAAACAAACAAACATGTGTTCAGTCCCGCCATCATGGAGCTCTTGGTGTGCTGGAACGTGCTGCGTAACATGCTCTTCTGGGGAGCACCACTAAACAAACAAACAAACATGTTGGGTTGCACATCATGCTCTCCTGTTGTAGCTCTTCTGAGATTCCTTCAGTCCATCCATCCATGGAGATTCCTGAGCTAGAATATTGACATCAGGAAGCTCGGATTGTCACCATGTAAGCCCTTTTCCGTAGAGCGTAATCGGCCGTTTCAATTCTACGTAGAGCGTAGACGGACCGCTTTAATATTTTTGCGTAGAGCGTATTCTGCGTTTTAATTCTACGTAATGCGTTGTAGCCACTTGGAATTTATCGTAAAGCGTAATCGAGGGGTTTCCGAATTCAGCGTAGATCGTTGTTGGGACCCCCCTTGCAGGCCCTCATGATCATGTAAGGTATTGACAGGGAGACATTGCCATTTATGCACATGTTTAGCATCTAGTAAAGTACAGATCGGCAGGGAGGAAGGGTCGATTATCCAAATTACTGTTGTGTTATACTAGACTATTGATAGTATATAGTATATAAACAACAACAACGTAATATAAGATATTACGGATGATCCAAAACAAATGGCAACTCGCTATAAACCATGCAGACACAACTCCCAGGGCCAGCATACATACGGGACACCGATCTGTGACTTACGATCACTTTTGTGCCCCAAAAACGACGGAAACTCTACTCTAAACACGGTCCTGGCGCCCCCCTCCCCCTTCGCTATGTGCCATTTCGCTAAGGAACAGAAGTTCCATCAGAGGACATAAAAAACGAGTAAAACTCAGGATTCCCCTACCCGGCCATGCTGGGCGCCTTACTCCTGCCTTTGGTCGACGCTGACATGCCGGAAAACTCTGGAAATGGCTACAAAAGTCTCCCCAAATCGTCCTACAGTACAGAAAGCTAATGTTGATGTTGCTATGAGCACCCGCATAAATTAACTGCTGGGGTCAATACTTGGCTGAGTAAACTGATCTCCAATTGGTCAGTTCTATCCACTGCTGTCGGCTGGTTTTCGTGCTGTTGTACTAGAACTTGTGAAATGTTTTTCGTGAAAGATTGATATTTTGGTATGCAAAGCATTTAGAGTCGAAAGAATGAAAAATGGCTACAAAAGTTGTATTCTATACTATAAATGGAGACACCATAAATCCAACCCTATGGCAAGTGCACCAATCACAGCAGTCGTAACAAACAGCCAAACATGTAAATAACATCCGGGTCACCATTGCTATCCCATAATATTATTCAACATGGCGGAGGTAAAGCCGAAAATTCTTCATTTGGCGAAATTTTGTGAAAATTCTGGCATTTTTGTGGAAATTTGCCGGTAGTTTTGGCCCTGTATGGGTTTTTAGGCGGGAACATTTGGCGATCTGCCGGTCTAGGGGCGGAAAGTCGCCGATGAGGCTCGTAGTTTGCGTCCGACATGTCCGGCGTTTCCACTTTCGGCCGCCTCGTATTTTGAACTTTTCTTTGACATTTCCGTTGTTTCCTTGACCGAGGTGGTCTTCTCTCCACTTTTACTAACAGTTGGTTTGTGGTTTTTGTTTTCCAGACCGTTCCGGGAGATTCGAGTCCAGGTAAGATCATTTTTGTGCGATTTACTCACTTTTCGCCAATATGCAAATAAGGTGGGACCGGGTTCCCACCTTAGTCGGGAAAAAAGCGGGTTTGTCCCGAAAGTAGGGCTTTTGGAAGGAATCGCACTTCAGGGCGGCCATGTAAGCCGGCTGTGGACAGTTTTCCGTGCAGTTGTTGTCTGGGTTGCCGGTCGTTCTTGTAAAATGCTCGCTTTTGTGAATTGTGTTGCTAATTAATTATTCATGAGCTCTGTCCGCAGTGGTCTATCCTTATTCGGGACCTCTGGAGGCAAACCAACATTTCGGGTCGCGGTTTTCTCACTTCTAGCGGAGACGCAGAAACATGAACTGAGCCTGATGGGCGATATGCTGCGCTTTTAGGCAGTTCGGGGTTGTGGGATGTTTGTCGGAAAAAGATAGTCTTGTTTTATGAAGGGAAACGTTGCTTTGCATATACATGTATATATAAATGTTCAGTGTTGAAAACGTCCGGTATTAAAACTCATCAGTAAAGAAACTCTGATTTTCAAATCTCTGTTTTACCTTCGGCTTGGATTAAGTGAACGTTGAGAGCTGTTCTTGTACATATTTGTGTTTGTTTTACTTCTGTTTCTGGGTTAAGTGGTTCCTGCTTTCCTCTGAATCTTACTTCCTTTCAATTTGATAGAAATTTGTTTGATTATTTTACTGTTTGATTCTTTTGATTTCCAAATCTGTCCCAACTGGTTAACTGTGGTTCCTCCACGTGTTTGTGAAAAATTTGGACACCTCGGAAGTTAGATGAAATACAGGTCTGTCTAATGAAAATCAGATAATGTAATGTTTTTTGCAAAAATTATAATTTAGCTTGCATCAAACGCCAAATTGCGTGTCCTGGGACAGATTTTTTAGCATATAGAAAACCGGCATGGCGCAACACACCGTTTGACGCTGGCTTTTTGCTCCATGTAAATTGCCCCATACTTTCTATAGACTGTTTTTTTGTATGACTGGTTGGAAGGAAATTGACTCACTCTTTCTGCATACCTGTACAGTACATTTTACATAGATAACATTTTCTTTGCCCATCTCTGCCTTCGAAGTATTGAAATGATTTTTTCATGTTCCTAGTTTGGCAGTCTGGATTTTTATCCTGCTGTTTGTTCTAAGGTGGATCAGTGTAGGTATGAGTAAATCATAAATACCTGCTCAGCTCCAATTTCACCTGCACTAACCTGGATATACAGGTGGTATTTCCAGCTTAACATGAGATTTAAAAGTTAGATTAAAATACTGGGACTTGTTTATGTGTATACGTATATATAACAGGGGTTTTTCTAGAAAAAGTTACTATTTAGCATGAGGGAGCAGATCACAAGCATGGCAAAGAACAAAGCAACCAAGGGGGGGGGGGTTTAATAAGAGTAACACAGTTTGTAATGCTAGAATGCATTGTTGTATTGTTTTCACCTCTTTACTGGAAAAAGATCATTTTGAGAAAGATTAAATGGTGTGTAAGTAGCCATATAGGGTTCAATTTGAAAATTGATATGGGGGAGCTGGCTGGTTACATGAGGGAGCAGCTCCCTTATTCCCCTGTTTAGAAAAACCCTGTATAGTGTCTCCCTTGTTCTGTGTCAGTAAACAAATAAATAACAGGAAGATCACAACTTGATCTGTCTCTGAAGACCATGCATCAACGTTTGTCTCCAGGCATGAGGAAGATACATGTAGTAAGATTTTTACTTGCACTTAAAGACAGAAACAGGTTTAAGAATAAGACTTCATACTTGGAGTGACAAATTTTGGCTGCATGATGATATCGGCACAGACTCTGCCATGTATATGAGTTGTAATAATGCTGATGTGTTTTACAGAGTCGGACCGTGAGTTTAACCTGTGTAATGCTGATGTGTTACAGAGTCGGACCGTGAGTTTAACCTGTGTAATGCTGATGTGTTACAGAGTCGGACCGTGAGTTTAACCTGTGTAATGCTGATGTGTTACAGAGTCGGACCGTGAGTTTAACCCTTGTATTGCTGATGTGTTACAGAGTCGGACCGTGAGTTTAACCCGTCTGCAGAGATGCTGATTGATGAAATTGACGACGAGCAGACTTTAGAAGAGGAAGAGGCGCAGGACAGCGGAGACAGCAACGAGGTCGCAGAGCTGGAGAAGGTCAGGAAACTTCTGGTTTCTTCTAAACACTTCTGGTTTCTTATAAACGTTTCTGGTGTCTTATAAACGCTTCCGGTTTCTTATAAACACATCCGGTTTCTTATAAACACTTCTGGTTTCTTATGTATGTATGTATGTATGTATGTATATAAGTCCCATAACCTTATACTGTCATGAAAGTTCATCTGTGTTGGTAGTTTTATTGTTTAAAGTCAAAACTTTAGATCCAACATCGTGGCCAAATGTTGCATGAAATGAAGATTGTGTGAGGGAAGTACTGTCCAGAGTTATGTTTGAGAGTTTGAAAACTGTTTGTGTTCGGTAGGAGGGTGACATGCCGTTGGAACAGCTGCTGGCGATGTATGGCTATTCCGAGGAGGGTGCGCACCCCCCCAGCAGTGACGGGGAGCCGGACTTGCCCCCTGACCTCACGCTGGACAAGGAGCAGATCGCCCGCGACCTTCTGCCGCACGAAACGCCCGAGGATCGAGAGGCTTCGTCTTCGCTCGAGTTCTTAGCCAGGCTGGACGGGGAAGGGGAGGCAAACCACAGAACACTCAGACGTAAGGAACCTTCTTACACCCCTAACCCTAACCCTGCCCACAGAACACTCAGACGTAAGGAACCTTCTTACACCCCTAACCCTGCCCACAGAACACTCAGACGTAAGGAACCTTCTTACACCCCTAACCCTAACCCTGCCCACAGAACACTCAGACGTAAGGAACCTTCTTACACCCCTAACCCTAACCCTGCCCACAGAACACTCAGACATAAGGAACCTTCTTAAACTTCTAACCCTATCCCTGCCCATAGAACGCTCAGATGTAAGGAACCTTCTTACACCCCTAACCCTAACCCTAACCACAGAACACTCAGACGGCTTGCTACTTTCTTACATCTCTTTAGAGGATAATGTTGATTTTACTTATGTTGCTGACGGTGTTGCATTGATGTTTTTAGTGATGTTTTGAAGCAAGTGTTGCATTGATGGTTTTTAACTTTAATGTTTTGCAGCGAGAACCAACGGCGAAGGCTACTCAGAAGACGATGATGAGGACGATGAAGATTACGTTCCCGCTGACGACTGGAAAAAGGTAAGAATAGACAAACAAAGAAACAAACAAGGAATCGGCCAATTTAACTGTCCAAAATGTGTGTAACCAACAGCAGGATTTAGGGCTGCTGTATGGGGAGGTCATAGGTGGGGTGAGGGTCATAGTTGAGGGGAAGGTCATAGGTGAGATGAGGGTCAAAGGTAAGGGGAAGGTCAGTGTTTGCATGTGCATGTGTGTGTGTGCGTGTGTGTGTGTGTAAGTGTGAGCTGAGTGGGTTAGGAGATGTGTGTGCTGAAGTTGTTGTGTTTATACCAGGTGGGTCCAGACTACCAGGCTAAGGTCCCTGTTGTGTGTGTATGTGTGTGTGTGTGTGTGTGTGCGTGTACGTGTGTGTGTTAGTGTAAGTGTAAGGTGAGTGGGTTAGGGTTAGGAGATGTGTGTGCTGAAGTTGTTGTGTTTTGTACAGGATATCCAGGTGGGTCCAGACTACCAGGCTAAGGTCCCTGTTGCGTGTGTGTGTGTACGTGTGTGTGTGTGTACATGTGTGTGTGTATGTACTGTAAGTGTGAGGTGGGTTAGGGTTAGGAGAGGTGCTGAAGTTGTTGTGTTTTGTACAGGATATCCAGGTGGGTCCAGACTACCAGGCTAAGGTCCCTGTTGTGTGTTCGTGTGAGTGTGTGTGTGTGTGTGTGTATTGTAAGTGTGAGGTGAGTGGGTTAGGGTTAGGAGATGTGTGTGCTGAAGTTGCTGTTGTGTTTTGTACAGGATATCCAGGTGGGTCCAGACTACCAGGCTAAGGTCCCGGCCGGGCTGGCTGCTTACGACGAGGGAAAACCGGTTCCTTACGACAGCGAAGACAGGCTGCTCTGGGACCCAACCAGGCTCGACGACAAGCAAGGTGGGTTCAACTAAACGTTAATACATACACACTTTGGTCCCAGTGGTAAGTGTGTGTGTGTGATTGAGTGTGTGTTTGTGTGCATTTATGAGTGGTGGTGTGTGTGTGAGTTTGTATATTGAGTGATGTATGTTAATGCCCTGTGATTGATGATCTGGTTCCAGTGGAAGGCTACCTGGAGGAGAACGTGTTGATCGTGTGTATGTGTCTGTGAGCGTGGTGTGTATGTGTGTGTGTGTGCTTGTGCAGGTGTGTGTGAGTTGATGTAATTTAACTGTATGTTATGTTCTGCTCCCAGTGGAAGGCTACCTTGAGGAGTACGCCTCCATCGTACCGGGCTCGGCGGGAATGGGCGCGGTTCCGGCGGGTGGACATGTACGGGATGATGAACAGGTCAGGTCATAGGTCATTCATGTATGGAACAACAAACATGTCAGGTCATAGGTCATTCATGTACGGAACAGGTCAGGTCATAGGTCATCCTGTGCTGATTCCAGCCAGATGGATCATGGTTCTATTTGGAGGAATGACAGAAATTTGTTGGAAAATTTTTGTGAAAATGAGCAGGAACGATTTAGTGCTGCTTGTCTAGAGGCCAGTCCTGAGTAGTGGTTTGTTTATTTTGTTCCTCCACAGTCATGTTGTTTATTTTGTTGGCAGGTGTTGTTTGTTTATTTGTTAATGTTGTTGTTTTCCCCCCAGGTGTTGTTTGTTTGTTAATGTTGTTTATTTCCCCCCAGGCATTGTTTGTTTATATTGTTGTTTATATCCCCCCCAGGCGTTGTTCCTGTTGATGCAGTGTGAAGGAGACTTTAAGGAGGCCCTGAGAAGGAAAAGGCTGCAGTCGGTCAGCCCCGCCTGTAGGTGGCGCTTTTGTACTGTGCATGGAAACAGTTCGTGTAGGGTTAGGTATAAGATTTAACCTGAGGTGTAACATGTAATGCATGATGTAGGGTTAGAGTCCCCCTGAGCTGTACACGGTACATGTGCTTGGTGACTTAAGACCAGTGAGCAAGTGGATAGTTGATGGCTATCTGTATCTGTATAACTGCCCTTCAGAATAAACACCAGCCCCAGGGCATGTTTAACCCTGTTTCTCTCTCCCCTCAGCTGAGGAGAGTTTGTGGTCAGGATTAGGGTGTGGGTATGTGCATGTGTGTAACTGCCCATGTTTAATGCAGCTGAGGAGAGTTAAAGCTGTGGTCAGGTTCAGGGTTAGGGAATGTGTGTATTTGTGTATAATGTATAACCTTCTCTGTCCCTGCAGCTGAGGAGAGTTTGTGGTCAGAAGAAGACTGCCGGAACTTTGAGAGTGGCCTGAGGATGTACGGAAAGGACTTCCACATGATCCAGAAAACCAGGGTGAGCACATTTCATTCATCTACTCATGTAATTCATTCACCCAATTATTAAAACACCTGGGACCTATACAAAGCTCCTGCGTAGAGCCCAGAACATATCTTGGACACAACATGCCACCATCAACACTATTGTAGTGGTCTCCCACGGGTGTCCGAAAAGCTCACCCACCGACGGGTTAAGTTTGCGGGACATTGTTGCAGAGCCAAGCAAGAAGTGTCGGCCGTCCTCCTGTGGAAACCGAGGGGCAGAGTGCATTCCAGAAGTTTGACTTTCACTGACTCTTTGGTTAAAGGTACTGGTATTGACTTTGATTGTATAGAAAATGTTATAGACAAGGATCTGTGAAGGGAAAACTTGCTTGGTTCTGGCTGTACAGGCCGACAATAGATAGATAGATTAAAGCACCAAAAGGGTCCTTAGACCCTGCCCAGATTGTCCACAGTTTTGGGCAGACTTGAGTGGTATCAGCTTGTGGCTCACAGATTTTGTTTGTTTGTTTGTTAGTTGCCGATGAAGTCGGTTGGAGACCTGGTGCACTTCTATTACCTGTGGAAGAAGACAGAAAGGCACGACATGTTTGCGAACCACGCAAGGCTCGGCAAGAAGAAATACAACTTCCATCCTGGTGTCACGTAAGTTTGGAGAAGCAACTCTGTTTTATTGTTTGTTTTGTATGACCTGTAGATTGTGGTATCGAATGTCCCGGTTGTTGGGGTTTGGACACAATACCGAAAGGTCGTGGGGTCGATTGCTGGCTTGTTGTTTGTGTCCTTGGGAATTTCCTCACTCCACCCAAAATGGGCACCTGACTTCGGATGGGGAAGTAAAAGGCAGTGATAGGACAGGGATGGGCTCTGCCTTCCAATACTGCCATTGACACAGTGGATTAACAACCACTGCCCCTATAGCCTCAAAAGGCAATGGGACTAGCTTTACCTTTGACCTTTACCTTTAACCTTTACCCAGGGACTACATGGACAGGCTGCTGGATGAAAGCGAGTCTCAGGCCTCGTCTCGAGCCTCGAGTCCGAACTTTAACCCCAGCCTCAAGCACAAACATCTGCTCAGCAGCATGGCAACCTCCGGATCAAGTTACATCCCCTCGCTGGCCGACTTCAACACAGGTAAGGCTCGGGTTACATCCTCTCATTTTAACACAGGTAAGGCTCGGGTTACATCCCCTCACTTATACACAGGTAAGGCTCGGGTTACATCCCCTCACTTATACACAGGTAAGGCTCAGGTTACATCCCCTCACTTCAACACAGGTAAGGCTCGAGTTACATCCCCTCACTTCAACACAGGTAAGGCTTGAGTTACATCCCTTTGCTGGCCGACTTCAACACAGGTAAGGCTCGAGTTACATCCCCTCACTTCAACACAGGTAAGGCTCGAGTTACATCCCTTTGCTGGCCGACTTCAACACAGGTAAGGCTCGGGTTACATCCCCTCACTTTAGCACAGGTAAGGCTC